CATAAGGAAAAAGTTGCAGCCCGTGGAACTGCCCCAGTGCATACCACGGGGCCAGTTCCAGATGGATGCTCAGCTTTTTATACCCCTGGAGTTTCATTAGCCAGCCCTGGCCCTTCCCAAAGTCTGTCAGTCAGCTCTTCTTTGCCATTTATCGGTCAAGGCTCCTCTCTCGTAACTGGATTGGAGGTCAGGTGTTGCCATGCTGCACCCCCGAAGCACCAAGCTTTTCCATTCCCACCTGCTCCATGCAAGGGACACACGTGCAGCCTTCTTTGTACCTGTCCTAGACAGCCCCGGGTGTCTGATGGCAACAATACAGGGGGGGAAAGGGAACCATGGGGACAACAGAGGACATCTAAACTGTGGAGTGTTTTGTCAAAGAGTGGCTTGAGGAGAGAGGACACAGCCGAATTAATTTGGTAAAATGTCCTAGCTAGGGCAGAGGCCTTTTGCAGGCAGGGTGTCTGTTGGGAATGTAGTTGACTAGAGAATGGAAAAGTACAAGACCGCGGTTAATTCCAAATCTTGCACCTGCAAGATAATGTGTCCTTAGGCCTGACGGAGCATGATAAAGAAATGGACAGCAAGGTGTGAGAAGTAGAGAATGTAGGCCCAAAGGAATGTGGATGAGTTAATGGTATAGTTTAACCATGAGATTGCTTGGCTTACGGAATATTCATAAGCTTATTATTTGCTGTATAAGTGTTTGATACTTTCTTTAATAAACTGGACCTGTGATGAACCAGCTGGTGTACTGGTCTCCTTCTCTCGACATTAAACTACAACATAAAAATACATCACTAAAGCTTTTCTTAATATTCACACAATAGTTATCTTTTACTTGCCAGGGCAAATCATCTCATTATCCATCTACAGCAATCCCCCCTTTTCTATTTTATCAGCTATTTGGCTCAAGCAATTAACTTATTTTTAATAGTATCAGTTGATGTGAGCGAGGACAGTGGAAGAGGGTTCTAAGTAAAATGATTGGTAGAGTTTGTAAACAGAGGTCCAGTATGGCTTTTAGCCCCAGCTCCCATGCCCTCAGGGTTGCTGCCTGCAGCAGGGTTACTCTGATCTTCTCGGTGCTGAGTACAGGGGCCAATCTGGTCTTGCCCTCTGGTTCTCACTCTACTTCAGTTTGAAGTGAATCATTTGAATGTTTCTCATTGTCCCTCCCCTTAGCAGATACCTGTAATTTTCATAGCACAATTATATTAAATGAC